AAAAACAGTGGAGATATCTAAACATAATGGCATTTAAAGAGTGAAAAAATAAAGAGTCAAAATAAAAAGAATTAAAATTAATTTTTAATACGTCATTCAAAGTGGAAAAATAATATTACTATGTAATATTTTTACCTGTTTTGGGAAGAATCTAATGTCTTCACAGGGCAGATGACATTAAGTACTAGGTTTGAAGGTTTGTTTGTTTGTTTTAACTGCCTGCTGTCCCATGTTCCTGGAGAGATGGACCAACAGTTTTGAATGTACAGCAAATCACAGTATAAAATTGTTATAGAATACAATAGTCCTTTGTTGTCATTGTACATGTACAATTAAATTATATTCTGTTTTGTTTTTTATTTAGTTTTTTTAGAATAGAATATATAGCCATTTCAAACTGTTCCATACTTGGTCTAAACAGCAATAGTCTTAGTCCTCTGGCACCTGGGGCTCACTTTGAATGGTGGTTTAGTGAGATAGACTGTCATTGTCTATGCTTTTACATATTGTGATAGGTGTCATCTTAGCAAAGCTTCAACTTAAGAGGTCTTATCAGGTTTCTGCACCAGTTATACTTCTCCCGGCAGCCCCACACCCTCCACCCCACCATTAATCACTCATTGTTATAGTTGTGAGATGGTTTTCGTGAGTCTGTGTGCTATCTCGTGTTAGAATATTTTTACCAGGTCTTTTGTTAAGTAAATTATGCACTTTGAATGAAGAACAAGATAAATAACCTGCCATCTGTTGTTGAATTGAAGTTCTCAAACTTTTCATGCTGAATGTAATTTGAGAAACGCACAATTACGCCACCTTTTGAGGGATGAAACAAATCAATATGTCGGGTTCAGCTACACTATACAGTAAATACTGCATGTGTGCTTACTGGTAGATTTGTAACTTACTTGCGAGTGAGTTGTCAGTTTGTTCATATAGGGCAAACAGTATTATGCAGCCATGGAAATGAATGGCAGGTTTTCTCCATGTTTCCTGCCTATTTTATTTTCTTACACATTTAGATTCAAACCAGTCTCTGGTTATCACCCTACATGTGACATTAGTTGTCAGTTTTGATTGGCTGTTTAATTTTTTTATCAACCTCAATGACTGTACACATCCAATCAGGAAGATTCATGTTATTTAACATTCTGATCTTATGTGTTATTTGGAACCAGGCTGACTGGCTGCTGTAGCTTTTATTTTTCCTGGATTTTATATGATGAATAACATCTACAGTTGAACTAGGCCATTAATGTAGAACTACTAAAAGTCTCAAATCCTTATGTTCATTTATGTAGAATTTGTTGTTCTCTTCTATATTCCGTTGTACAGCTGTAGGGTTTTTGGGAGCTGAACATTGTTTAGAAGAGAGATGTTTCATGTTTTTGTGTGTTTCTGCTACTGAATTGTTTCCTGACATACTTTTAAGTGTCCTAATGGCCCTGTGGTGCTACGATTATAGCAGACAAATGGACACAGTAAGAGTGGTGAGGAAATTTAAAAGGAACCAGCCTCAGTCAGACCAACAAGGTTAATATCATTAAAGCTTTGTTAATTAAATGACTAAATTACTCTGCTCTTGTTGGCAGCTTAAAAAGAGGATATTTCTATGGGTGTTGTTCTGAAAGTATGCTTTAGTTTACAGCATCTGCTGGTCAGAGGCTCAATGTTGTGTGTAGCTTTGTCGTCTTCATAGTGTTGATTTTGCAAAACACAAGTCTTTAAGACGTCTAACATTGAGAGGCAGGTTATTGTGAGTAGTTCAACATTCAAGTGCCACTCAAAGGTTAGGCATTTTACTGGAACATAAGTTGCTAACGCATATATATTAATGTAATGTCGAACTTTAGAGACAAGTTTTAACTGAATTCTAAGGAAAACCTGGTCCAGACAAGTTTGGGCTGACCCCTGTTAACATGGTGAATGTGAAAGAGCCAGCCTCATGACATAAGGTTCAACATACCTTGATAATACAGCCTTCTGGGTGGAATAGATTTGCTTTTCCCATCATAACTCTCCATTAATTTGATTTTTTTACACTCTTACAGATCATGTTAATTTTGAGTTTTGCTGCATGCTGCAGTTTAGATCAAAGTAGGCTCAGATAACCTCGTGCAAAGCTGTAAATGAGAGGGAAGTAAATGCCAATCCTCCTAGCAATATAGGTCACTGACAAACAGAGCATCAACCTTTCTTTAATTTTCCACATCAAATCTTATTTTCTTGCAGAATTTATATTCAACAAGGTCACATTTTGCTATTTATCGTACTGTTTATTTTAATCTTTGTGTACAACGCTTTGCGACTACCTATCTATGAAAAGCGCTTAATAAATAAACTTTACTTACTTACAATCATTTGTGCCACATTTGACTACTTCCACAGAAAGCTGTTGATCCTCTGGTACATTTTTGGTTACAAGAAAATACATCAAATCATTTTTGCAGTTAGGGATGAATGTACTGCCCCATAGCAAAATAAAAAATTGGATTTTTCCATTTTATAATTTCCTCCAGAGTCATTGTCTTGATTTTTACTAATCAAAACCATACTAGAATGTTAATACTTGTGTGGTTATGATCTCAAAAGACACACCCTTTCGATTAACAGCCTATGTTGTTAAATCGAGTACATTAGCAGATGTCTAGTTCTGGATGGTAGCTGTAAATTACAACTTGCATTTAGCAGGTCAGACAGTCTTATCCCCTTAGGCCTGTGTACACATCACCTAAGCCCACTGGCTGTCATAAAGTGCATTAACATTGATTATATGAAAAACAACACTGTTTAATCTCAAGTGTCTGTGTAATAAATAAAAACGCTGAAGAAAAAAAGCTGGTGAGACAGTTTGGAGATTAAAAATCAAAATGGATATAGTTGTATTAAACCTGATATTGGTAGTTTATTTGAGGGTATTGATATGCTGTTACAGCAGGCTACTTTCAGTTGGACGACAAACAAGTAAATGAAATTAAATGCTGCCTCTTCAATATCCAATATTCTAACCCACCTCCTGTCTCCCAAACCTCCTTTCTGTTCTCAGTTAATATCTTCTCTCCCCAGCTGGCCTTTCCCACAGGCAGACAGTATCCTTACAATGCGTCACCCTTGGCATACATACCCTCCAGTTATTGAGCAAAAAGCAAACCACGCTCTACACATGATTGATGAGGAAATGGGATTCTAATTCAGTTATTGAGCCGTCACCCTGCGGCCATATGTGCACATCAACCTTCCTTATTCGGAAACCTTCCTTATTGTGACCAATGTTTAACTTGAAGACAGTTTTTTCCCCGGCTGGCAGATCTCAGATTTCTTTTTTTAGCATTTTTCTTTCCCACCTTTTTAAAAAAAGAAAACAGTTTTGGTTTTATTTGTTATTGAAGAAAATATTCATTGTGACATGACAAAGCTTCAGTACACTGGATTTCTGCACAGAATCATTCAGTTATGTTTAGTGCAGTTCTAATACAGAATGTTTTTTCTTCCTGCTCTCTGCATTGCTTACATTTCTTGCAGTTGTCATTGTGTTTTTCTGTTGAAAATAACAGACCGGTCATGAGCAGTTATGGCTGAATTATTTTAACAGCACAAGTCTTTACCTGTACTACTAATGAGACATTCTGTCTTGAGAGAACACTCCATTCACTGCACCAGAATAATTCTTATGCTGGTTCTGACTTCAGAACATTGTAATCCTGTTGTTGCTCTGTCTTTCAGTACATTACTACAGCACAACTAGCCCCTATATATCTTCAAAGGGTCACACTGGAATCCTTTATCTTGTGCAAAATCCTAAGCTACTTAATCCCTTCTCTGCCCCTTAGTTCTCTGCACGTGTCAGACCTCCAACTCTAAACCCAGGTATGGAATTTGCAGTCCTCAGGCAGGGGTCTGTTAGTCAACCTGCACACCAGCCTGTGGCCAGAGGTTTCAGACCTTAGATTTTGGAGTGGTTCCCCAGCAGAGATCTGCGCTGCATTATACCAAGAACTCATTGCGTCAGTAAATGATGTGAATGAAACTGTTAAAAACATTAACATAAATGTGACCCGTGTCTGAATTTTAAAATGCTGTCACTTCAACAGATTGATACTGCTTTCAACATTACGTATGCCGTGACTGAAAAGGCTTAAGAAATGGTCAATGTTGTCTTGTGGCATTTGTTTGGGATTTCTCAATAAATGTGAAGCATCATTATTAAAGGTAGAATTATTTTTACTTTGTGATTCAGTGATACAAAATGGAGTTCTGGGGACACACGTGCCGTAGGTGGGACTATCAGAGAAGGTGGCTTGGAGTACTCTACTGGTGTTTTTTTTCTTCTTTTGTTTCTTTTTCTCTAATGCTGCATTACTTTTACGTTGGAAGTCAGGTATGCGTTCCAATAGTAGTAGTCAAGAATGCAAGAAAAGACAGGCTTTGTTTTGCGCCCTTGGAAGGTAGAACCATTTATCCATCACTAGCAATATACTATAATGTTGGGGTTTTCGCACTTACAAACACCAATGCAGCACATTTATAGATGGAGCGTGTTAGTGCTTTGTTTATGACTTATTTACAGAGTCACAAATACACAACAGTAGTAGTACAGATTGCAGGTTTTACTTCTCAGTTTCTGCCATCTTGAATTGTAAAGTCAGGGTTTGCTGGGCTTCTTTGAATTTGAAACTTCAAACTCAGAATCAAGGGTTTCTGGCTTCCCACTTCAAATGGAATGCAGCATAAAAACACATTGGTGCCACTAACTGGTGTGACCCTATAGATAAATGTAGCTAAATGGTCTTTTTCTCTCTCCCTTTTTTTCTTTATTCAACATATGTGTAGCTGTTTCATGGTCTATTGTCAATTAAGCTTAAATGTAAAATGTTTTGGTAATCCTAACTAGGGATTTGACCGACTATAATTTTGTACTATACTCTCTAGATAATGTTTTGAAAAATCTGTCAAGTGAAAATATCATTTTGTCCAAGATTAGATGGAATAACTCAAGTCTGTTTGTTTTTCTTCTATTCTCAGGGTAAGATGGTGAAAGGAATGGGAGGAGCCATGGATTTGGTGGCAAGCGCTGGAACTAAGGTGGTGGTCACCATGGAGCATTCAGCTAAGGTGTGTAAACATGTAGTGGGGCCAATATGCTCGCTGTGTCACGCAGTGATTTTTTTTAAGTCAAATTGCGTGTCGTGTGACACAATCTTTGTGGTTTGTCAGCCGCCTGTGCGCCTCTACATTTCTGTAACTTGGCGTGTTGCGTTTTGGCAGTAGGAGCTGGATTGAAGACACGAGTGTACGATCGTGACGCTTTTTACCGCCATTTTAAGCTCAGCGATATACAGAAATACAGAGGGAGAACAGTTTAACAGTTTAAAAACTTGCAACCTCCCCTTGACTTCTGGTTTTGACTTATTTTCCTCCTATATCAGCGCTTATGTGGCGATATTGTCTGAGTGGCGACACCTATCATTCAGGAGAATACTGCAGTGGCTTAGAGTGACTGTGAGACGAGGTTGCGGCGGTGATAGAAGCGACCATTGAGGCCTTAAGGGTGTGTTAGCATGAACTCTTATTGTGGTTTTTCTAGCTAACATTGCCTTTACGAGTCACTCAAGAGACTTATTTCCTTTCTGTGAGTAAAATTAAATTAACAGCGTCCTTTTCCCGTGTTTATATCTTCACCAGCGTTACTTGTATCTGCTTCCTACAGTAATGAATGTGAGTGCTAGGGCTGATTAAGGATAATTCTGCTAATGGATTGCTTAATATCCTTTTACTAGAGAGGGCTGGCTCATTCTAGTGAGGCACACAATCCACCTCCTGTTTGCTCATCTTCAGTTAATTTAAATACAAGTCTAGAATTGGGCTTAGTGTTTTGAGACGGGCTGATAGTTAGACCGGGGCTGCAGCAAGAGATGACTAATCCCACAGGGGTTCTGACACTTGCAGTAGGCAATCCAGCTGAATTGGTTTACTTTTAGAAAGTCCAAACCAATGTGATGCAAGGGCAATGTAACATTCTGCATTTACAAAAGCATGCTGTTTTTTGCTAATGGGACTCTGTCTGGCGCCCAGCTAAAGTCCAGATGGTGCAGCAGGTGAGCATAAATTTACTGCCCTGAAGGCTGCTTTCATTCATGATGGGGAAGGGGAGTGGGAGAGTGAGAGAGGGCGTGTGCTGTATGCCTCTTAGAGATCGTTGGAGGGTTCTCTCTCTCTTTCTCTCTCTCTCCTTTTCCTTGAAGATGTCTGATGGAGAAACTGAGGCACACACTGTATTTGTGCTGGATGTCCTTTAGGATCAATATACACACCCAGCTGAAACACTGAATATACACATATATGTACAACATAAAAGATCCATTCCAAAAACATCCAGATACTAAATGAAGGCAATGATGTTGTCCTGTTCTTTTTAGGGAGGAAAACACAAGATACTGGACAAATGCAGCCTGCCTTTGACAGGGAAACAATGTGTGGATCGGATCATCACAGAAAAGGTGCACTTTTCTCTTTTTGTTTCTATATGTACATAATAGATGCAGATGTGCCTCCATGGATGCAAATGTGAATGGTGGATGGATAGATGAATGGATGATTGAGCTGTTCGTCATAAACTTTGACTGCTTACTAAGGTTTGCTACATAGACGGTGCGAGTGAGTAAGCTATGACTGAACAGGACTCCTAGCCTAGAAAGGATTTACATGGGGGACAGTGTTTTGTAGAACTAGTTTTTTTAGTATATTTTCTAAAAATTGGGGTTTTGGAATATACTGCATTATATGAATTAGATACCTGTGATTTTAATGTTAATAGAATAATGTAAAATTCATTTTTTTAATGCCACAGAATACACTTGTCAACCCACAAAAATCCATCTAAATCCCCTGCTCGACTGCAGCTGAACACAGATTTTTTTTTTTAGAATCTATTTATTAGATGATGTCATGAGGTACAACTGTAAACGCCACGCTTGTTACTCAGAGTAAAAAGAAGGTCCACCTCTACTGATGTCAAATACAATGTCTGACTGAACAGAAATGTACTATGTGTAAATAGTGTTGCAGACACAGGTTGGAATTACATTTTGTGTCATTAGCAATAATGAAAAAAATAATAATGCACAAAAGTCCACAAAGCACACGTAAACTAGAGAAGCTGAGTGTTGATGAAATTTAACTAT